AACTGAGAGGACTGTGAAGGCTTTTAAAACGGACTGAAAACCAAGAGATTCTATCCACGAGATATCCACTGGATATGTTTTAAAACACAGATACGGAGTGACTTATCAGTCTTGACGGAGTTGGGAGAATGGCTCTGTCTGTCGGGTGCCACTAGGGATAACAAGCCTTTCATACTTGAACATCAAGTTGCCTCACGCTACAGAAAAAGGAATTAAGCTCCAGCCTTATGGGCTATTTGTGGCTCCAGCATGCTTTACTTACTTTGACAGTGACGAGGACAGAACATGACTACAGCTATGCTCATATTATCTAAAAATAATGTCCTAAACTGTCAACTGGATAATGGGCACGCGACTCGGTACAGTTGAAGTCCAGGTTCATGATGTGTGGTCACATACTGTATCTGCACTGTGTGCATCAGTTCACTGCAGACTATGACAAACACTACATCTGCACTGTGTGCTTCAATTCACTGCAAACTATGACAAATGCATAGACGACAGAAATATGTGGTACTGCAGCACTCGTTTGGGGGCGTGAAGTGTGCAAAATCAATAGAAAGCAAGGGCACGTGTGCTCTTCAGGAAAGATGACGTGCTCAGTGCGACCCCTGGCTTTCCACAGGTTCAGCGAATTCCATTGTCTTGCAGAAGGTTTGTCAAAGTCACAACGAGTGATGACCATTTGTATTGCAAAACAGGATGGACCGGACAGTTGGAAGTCAAGATATGTTCGTCAGTTTGAACAGAATTTTGGTTCATAGTTAGAATGTTGCATGCATAGTGATTGGTTTTGTCAGTCCAAGAGATTTAGTTTGATATGATATAAACTGAAAAACAGGAAATCTCCATATTTGAGAGCTTACTTCACTTAAATTACTTAAACAGCTGTCAATTATTTCTCTATCAAGCCTGGTTATGGCATTTTAATTGTAGTTTATTAGACAGCCAAGAAGGGAAATAAAGTAGAAAGGAATATTTCGGTGCACGAGGTGATGTCAGTCATACAGTATGGTGCAGCATCATGGAGCCTGCCCTCCCTTCCTGCAAAGAAGGTCAAACGCTCCCTTTAGGGACCAATAAAAAACAAATCGAATGAAAAACTGAATCACACATCATCGGGAGTGATGTGCAGGCCTGATTAGTGTTTGGCCAATGCATGTGATGTCGTGCAGTTCATTGTGTTGGCTGTTAGCATCTCAGCATTGACTAACAGGAGTATATTATGGGCATTGATCCTCAGTGAGTATAATTCAGTGTGATCAGCATGAAGAGACGGCAGTTTCTCAGAGCACTGTTCTGCACTGTTGAAGTATCTGCGTGTCATACGGACTCGTCACAGTGACATGATATTCTACTCACGAGGGCACATTGTACTTCTATGATACTATGGAGCACGTCAATGCACTGGAACAATGCAATTTATAGTTGGCCCAAATAAAGCAAGGACATGTTATTTATGAGTCTGTAAGTGGCCAAAGCCTATTGTGTATGTTACAGAGCCTGCAGAAAGGCTCAATGCATGATAGATATTCTTTCCCTCTGCAGCTCTGTACTAGTTTTTCCTTTTTTTTTCATCCCGTTTGATGTTGGACCATGAGTTGGCTTCACACACACGCATGAGGGGAGATCTCACAGGGCTTCAGTAGATCTCTAATTGAATTGTCTGAACAGCAAGAGATGCACATTTGAATTTGAAAAAGAGAGCGCAGTGGAAGACCGGCACCGGAAGAGTGTTTCATCTCTCGTGCCCGTCACGGCGAGTTCCATGCAACATTGATTACCCGAAACAGGCATCAGTCAGAGAAGTCTGTTTGAAACACAGGAGAAGGAGTGCACGGTGCTAACGCCGCTCCACATCTGCCCTCAGCAGCAGCGTTATCGCGCAGTGTGCGATAACATCTGTCAATAGGCTGTTTCATTTCGCACTGTTACGAGCCATCAGGGTCACAGAGGTGAGTGCCTGGGGTACCATGACCACCACCAGACTTCTGGGAAAAAAAGCATACAGATAAGTAATGAAAAGGAAATGGCCAAAGGTATTCTTGGGTGGCATGGTTTGGAGCCATTTTGTTATCGCTATGCAAACAATGCATATTTAATAGGTTTGACAAATTAGATTACTGCGTTTCATTATATTTCACCATATTATCTTCCAGTGGTAAACATTGGCAATTGGGGCTCATAGATAATCATATCTCCCAATTTTCTGCCTATTATTGGCTCAAGATGGTCATTTCTTAGCTCGCAAGAGACCTCACAAGACTTCACATTTCTAATCGTCTGCTGCATTTTCACATCTTCATCGCAAAATAGGAAATAAGCAACATTAACGCAGGTCTCGTTTTCCTATTTTCCAGGTCTGTATCTTTGTGAATACACATAAATATTACATCAAAGGCTTACTTTGGTTGATACTGTAAAATGAATATCACTAACACTCTTAAACGTTCCAATTCTGTAAGATATATGAAAGGATTCCTTCTGAAATGCAGAGTAGTTGTCTGAAGATCAGTTTGTCATTTTAAAAAATACATTTTATGTGCTCAATTACTGTCTTTTTACTTTTGATTTCTAAAGCCTTTTCAGCTTTGTGTCCCCCTATTGTTGTTGTACTGTCGTGCAGGCTGACTTGCAGCACTGGCTGTCCCTGGAGGCGAGAACATGCAACTAATTATTCTGCTGTATTCTGTCTGATGTTGTGGAGACTCCCTGTAGAAACTAGTGAGAGGGTATTAATGCATTTAGTTTGTGAACTTTTTCACTCTGCTGGCAGGTTGTTGGCAATATTTATAGAGATGTATTAATAAAATGATTTTGGTAAGAGGAGTTTGTTTTTCATTTTTCTTCACGTGATGATAGTGAGTTCCATATTCTCTGGTATACTCTGTAATATTTCTGTTTCCCAGGTCTGTGGGGAGTGTGAGTCCATCATTTGTGGCTGAAACGTTTAGGGTGACCTTGGCGTATATGCCTGAATACATCACAGATGTTGGAAATAGTGCTGACTTGGTTTTCATCAATAATTGTGACTCCAACTGACAGCACAATATGTTTGGAGACGAAATAGACAAAAAGGTGAAAGAGAAGCAGGAGTCACAATGTAAGTTCAAGTTCAGCTTTTGTCTGAGGGGGTTGGTTGTCGCCTTGGATGCTGTCCACATTGTATGTGGAGTAGAGCTGCAACAATTAGTTGACTCATTGGTTAGTTAACCTCTATTAAATAAAGTACTTTGATAATGTGTGGGGTTGGCCAGTCTTTCAGCTGGAATGGATGTTTAATGTGATGTTTCTTTAATGCTAAGCTTCTCTGATTTATAGTGGGGCTGTAGCAAGTATTGAAATGAATGGGGCGTGTAGGTACAGGGAATGATTTGCATTCTGCATGCGTGTCGTCAGGGTAGTCCAGTCCACATTCCAAACCACATTTTATGCTACACCTCTTGCTTCAGGCCACACGCAATTGCAAGCACCCCCTGAAAATGTGCCCTCCGTCTCATTGACTTTCAATAGGGAGGAAGCATTTTCTGGTCAGAAGAGGGTCGAGCACCGTTTGTAGTTGGATCATGAGTCAGAGGTTTCAGCCTCTGACAAACACTGCTCTCCACAAGCCCTATCGGCCCTACTTGCCTAGTCTTGTTAGAATGGGGCTTTCCAGATGCTAATCGGATTGGTTAACGAGAACATCTGTCCCTTCCTGTCATCTTCCCACGTCTCGTCTCTTTGAAGAACGCCGTTAGTTAACAGTGGGTACCGAGTTATCCGTGATCATGGCGAGATGTCTCTACTCCTCCACCAGTCCCCTGAGAGTGATCTCGCCTTTGATCCATTGTGATTTTAGTCAAATGAATGTAATGGATGGAGATGTGGTGCCGCGGCGCTCTCATCATTAAAATCACATTTCAGCATTTCCCTCGTCATTCAACAGAAATCCCGCTTGCGATGATGTATGAGTTGGTTGGGCTGGTTTTTACAGTGCTGTCTGTGTGCTCCTCCAGATGCTTCTGTGACTGCATGGAGAAGAGTGTGGAACAGTGGAACAGCCCAATCAGATTAACGCTCCATCAGATCAGACTGCTGCGTATTCGCTTTGTGATTAGTTCCCCTTTAGTCTAGTCCAGTCCAGTGACAGTTAGTTAGCTGGACCGTAAAGACGTGACCGCACATTCTCAGTTGTTTGTTTGGGATTCCTGTTATAGATGTTACTTTGACGTGGACTCTGGAATGGACTGAAATAACTTGTGCATTTGTATGACTCACACTGAGTAAGTCTTTGTTCAGATGAGTCTGCACAGAAAGGGCAGAAGATTCAGTCAAATGAGAAAGGCATTTCTTTAAATGTGCCATTATCCCACTGTTAGTCACTGGAAAGAGATGCTGTCTTACTGTCATTGCTCACCCTGGGAAATGTATTTACTCATTGGTAAAGTCCTCCACACCGTGGATTCTGATGACTGTTTTATGTGGATTATTAGGACTCCCATTAGCTGCAACACTTGGTTTAACTCCCATTCCTCAAGTCTATCCAGGACATTGCAAAGTCGTATACAGGCCACACAGGGATACAACATTAAGAGAAAACACAGATATTTCAAACTCAGTATTCCTTTTACACAATTAAAGTGTGTGCAATGCTCAGCATACAAACACTGTTTTTCCCAGTATATATTTTTCATGCATGTTAATTTTACAAAGACACACTACACAGAACTCTTTCATCCTTGAGGAGTGTGACTTCCCTTCATGCATGTGATGTAGCCATGAATGTAATTTTACGCTATTACACTTTTACACACAACATCCAAAGTTCATGTACTGTAACACATGAAACTTGTATGACATTTGGAGCAATGGGATTCAGTATCATTTAACAGAGTGATTCAGAACAATACATTTCATTTGTCAAACTTTGCATGACTTCTAAAACAATGTACACTTAATGTTCTTTTTTTTTTTTCCTCCCCACCCCTTCTGCCCATGTTTCTGTCCTTTCTTCACAGATATCTCAGACCGAAATGGTGCCCTGTATCATTTTCATCGCCTTGTTTCTCACCGCGGCCCGATCCCAAGATATCCATCCCTCACAGGCGTCATCATCCTCTATTAGTGAGTCTTGTGACTCCTTGTGCTCCTGTGAGGGAAAAGATGGCATCCTTCATCTTAACTGCGAGCAGAGAAACATCAGCAAAATCTCCCAAATCAAAGTCCCGTCAGGTGTGCCCTTCCACCTGAACCTTTACAAAAATGACTTGGTTGAGCTCCGCGCCGAGGAAATGGAAGGGCTTAAGAGTGCCCTTTCGCTGCACATTGGGGGTAATAGCATACAAGAGCTGGAACCAGGGGTCTTTAGCACTCTCGGTTCACTGAAAAAACTCCACATAAATAGCAATTTCCTCGTCACTCTGAAAGAGGATACTTTCCAAGGCCTTGTGAATTTGGAGTTTCTCCAGGCTGACACAAATTTCATTCGGGTCATCGAGCCGGGGGCCTTCAACAAACTGATCCGCCTCAAGGTGCTCATCCTCAATGATAATTCCATCGAGTTTTTACCAAGCAACATTTTCCGGTTCGTGCCCCTCACCCACCTGGACTTACGTGGCAACAAGCTCCAGACGCTGCCTTATGTGGGGTTTTTGGAGCACATCGGACGGATAATGGAACTTCTCCTGGAGGACAATGAGTGGGTCTGTGACTGTGATATTTTGCATTTAAAAATCTGGATGGAGAACATGAGGGCCCAGTCAGCGATCGGGGATGTGGTCTGCAGCACACCGCATCACCTTAAGGGCACCATTCTGGCTAAAGTCAAGCGGGATGTTCTCTGCCCATCTCATGCAGATATTAACCTGGAGGAGCCGTCAAAGTCACTGGACATGGTTGTTACTCCCTCATCTAAAGTGTCTCAGATTCCCAAGTTGAACAACGCCAAAGATGACGCGAAGGTACCGACACCGTCTCACATTCCTGGCAGTCCTTGTGTGGAGCACTGTGCCTGTCACAATCACCCCGTGGCAGGGTTTTTGATGCATTGTCAAGATAGAGGCATTCAAAAGCTATCGGATATCGGAATACTTCAGCAAAGCCCCACTAAACTAGTGCTGACAGGAAATATGATTCAGAAACTCCTGAAGTTTGATTTTGTCACATATGATAGTTTAGAGTGGCTCAACTTGGCAAACAACAGAATTGATTACATTGATAATGAAACTTTCCTGAGCTTGAGCAGTTTGAAAAAGCTGTATTTAAATGGCAACAGAATTGAAAAGCTGTTCTCCACAATGTTTGTGGGGTTGCACAACCTCGAATACCTGTATCTGGAATACAACCTTATCAAAGAGATTGCTCCAGGCACATTTAATCCCCTGCCAAACCTGAAGCTGTTGTCATTAAATAACAACCTGCTCAGCTCTCTTCCAGCACAGATATTTCGCAATGTGCCCCTCGCCAAATTAAACCTGAAGAAGAATCTACTTATGCACCTGCCAGTGAGCAATGTGCTTGATCAACTTGACTCACTAGAGCAGATTTATTTAGAGGACAACCCTTGGGATTGCAGCTGTGACTTGCTCAGCCTCAGACAATGGGTGGAGAAACTCCGAAAGGACACAGTGGTGGGCTCCATTTTGTGTCACACCCCAAAGAAAGTGATGCAGGCAGAACTAAGAAGCGTTCGCCATGAGGTGCTGTGTCCCGGTCTGGGGACCTACTACCCCATGTCCCCAGATGGGGAGGAGAGCACGACAGCCACACTGGGGCCTGACGGCACCGGCAAAGGATTGTTCAGCTCACTCACAGACACCGTCCCGCTCTCTGTGCTCATCTTAAGCCTTCTTATGTTTGTTCTCATGATTATATTCTGCTCGGCCGGACTGGTGGTACTGGTGGTGCACCGGCGGCGGCGAAGGGCAAAGAAAAAAGCAGCAGAGGAGCAGCCCCGAGAAAACACCAGCAGCAGTCCCATTCACTTGCATTACAGCATGTACGGGCAGAAAACGACCCACCACACTCTGACACAAAGAACCGGGTCGGCCTCTCTGTACGAAGAGAGATCACACAGCCCCATCGTGCAGATCTGCCGCAACCCCACCTACTGCTCCCAGCACAAGGAACACGACGCAGATTTGGATTACAGCATGGACGAGCCCGGCTCCAAGCACCACGTCTGCCGGAGCATCATGGAGAAGGAGAACACCTCTCCGCTCACCGGCAACCCCAGCTCCAAGTTCAGACCCATGACGGGAGAGTGCCCCGCCGAGTTCGTCACGCTCGGAAATCCCAACTCCTTGTACAGGAACATTCTGGAGAGGGAGAAGGAGCTGCAGCAGCTTGGAATAACAGAGTACCTAAGGAAAAACATGCCCCAGCTTCAGTCTGCTGTAGACATGCAGGTCCCGGGACACCAGGAGGAGTTAAAGCTAATGGAGACAATTATGTACTCGAGACCACGCAAGGTCATGCTTGAGCAAACTAAGAACGAGTACTTTGAACTCAAGGCTAACTTGCATACTGAACCAGACTACTTGGAGGTTCTGGAGCATCAAACTGCATTTAACTGAAAGAAAACAATTCTATAAATATATATATTATGTTTTGAACCAAGTGCCTTGTCCTGTTTGCCCTCTCGTACTTTCCACAGTGTGAAATATATATCATGGGCACATCACTTTAAGTTTAATTGTAGCACAGAATGTAACTGGTTTTCTCTTTTTGTTACTTTGTATCTGTTGACAGCCATGTTATGTAGCTGGTGAAAGGTGTAGTATTTTTGGCCAAATGTAACTTAAAGAAGCTAGCGCAGTCTGTTGTGCGGGCCTGGGTTTAAACCATCTTCAAAATCCAGTCAATCAGCTTTTTATGATTGATTACATTTCCACGGCGCACTGCTGCCAAATGAATTGATCTGCACAGTGCACCCCCCTCCCCCCATCTGACATCCTGGTAGAATAAAGCAGATGTCTGGAAAAGAAGTGAGTGAATTTCAATCACCACTTGACCCAGAATTGCTGTTTAATCAGTGTATCCTGACTCTGGCTATGACCTGATTACACCCTCTGTCAACATAAGCCAGCTGGAATGCTGTAACCGGAATGCTCATTGTGCCAAGTGTACGTTGAAAAACAGCGATATAGGAGTGTGCTTCTACTGCTCTCTTCCTGTCAGTTCCTTTGATCGATCCAATACACTGCGCACTCGCAGTCATAGGGACGTTATTTATTTTTATACAGACTGGTGATATTTACAGAAAGGATGAATTTTCTTCTATCAATCAGTAAATGCAGCACTTAAAGTACAGTCTATTATACACAACTGTAATCTTGTAAAAATGCATTGCACTAATCAAATGCCATAAGATGGTGCATGACAATCAACAGAGTCCTGCTGAAACTTTTTTTTGTTTTTAATGTCTGCCAGAAAAAATGAGCCACAAATGTGTGTTTGTGTGTCTGTGTGCGCGAGCGTATGTGAGACTGCGTTTAACGTCACTTATTTATGTCTGAAAATATTCAAATAGCATTCAGGAACATCCGCTCCGTCCTCTTGCTGAGACTGGCTGATCGGGAACTGTGTTTGAACTGATCAGAGACGGGGGACATATTAACCCGCCAGCACACGAATGGTTACCGACGAGCAACATTACTCAAAAAGCTCCAGTTTTTTCACGCAGACAACCTGCCGACGGACTCCAGCCAGCATTTGTCTGTTTCTCAGCTCTTATTAAAAGCAATGGACTGCTGGCCGACTGACGTTTGCAACGTGGACATTGTCAGGATTTATACTCTACACACCAACCATACTCCCAGAAACTAATCCAACTCTGAAAACGGTTCATGTAAGCACACACTCTGTAGCTTTTCTACTCAACTAGATTTCATTATTTATTCTGTATATTTTGTAAATACCTGTGTTCCATTATATCTTTTGGTTTTTGTGTGCCTTCAGTGCTGTACAGAATATAAACAGAAGTTGTAACTGATAAACAGGAAATAAAGATATTACATGAACTTGGAACTGAATTTATGATTAGCTCGACTACAATGCGTGTCACACGTTCTACAGATACTGTAGAGGAATGTGGAGCCTCTCTGCACTGCAGTCTGCGGGCTAATTTGCACTCCAGCCACCCTAAGCTGCATCCACACCCCAAAACAATGACATCCTCTATCCATGTGTTATCAGTCCTCCACAGCGCTTATGTATATGTGCATGTATGTACTAGTGTAAACACCATTTGCTTGCTTTCCTGCTGTGTGAATAATTTAACCCCCCACGATGGCTCAAACCTAGTCCTTAATCACACAACAATGGCTGCGGGGGTTTTATTCCACCAGCCGCGCTTCGTTTCTGCATGACTTTCATTTTCTCCCTCTCTCTGGGGAAACTGTGGACCCTCCTCTAATTCCTCCATTTTCTATCATAATTGATGTATCCGAGGCTCCTTTTGCAAGAACACACACGTAACCTCGCCTCTGAAAGACACTCGCACGCACACACACACACAGATACCCGTGCAGCACCTCGCATACAAATGCAGAAACCCTACCAACATGAATAAATAAATGTTTATAGATTTGTATGCCGACACGCATCATTTAAGTGTATGCACACTCACAGAGGCAAACAGACCGGCACGCTCACACACACAGAGCAAGAAAGATGAATTATCCTCTGCAGCCTGATCCTGCGAGACTCATAAGCAATATGTCTCTCCAAAGGTGAGACATTAGCAAAGTGCATAACTGTGTTCGGAGAGATTCTTTACTTTAGGGGCTAACTCCAAATAAATGCAAACACTTATGAACTGAAGCTCAACAAGGCTTCCATTCTGCAACACAGCTACACCACTTAATGCATTTAATAAGTAAACAATCCCAAACTCAAAGAACAGGTAATGAAGTATATAAAATGAGTCAGAAAGCTTTAATCCTCAAGCAAGGATTTGGAAAAGGAGAATTGTCTCCTGTAATTCATATTCACTTCACTGTCAGGATGACCCAGCCTGTAACTTAAAAACTCAAAAACCTTTGTCTACTTATTTCAAGTAGATTTGATTTAGCCCTGAGAATTAGTTGAATATTTGTAAAGCAAAGAAACGGCAGAAATCCACTTTAAAACACTGAGCTATATTACTCAGGTTCGTCTTTACTTTGGATGAGTCTCTCAACCCCCGGCACTACATGTCTTATGGCGTCTTTGTCAGACACTTTCTGTTGAACTCGAGAACAATAACACGATAGCAACCTCTGACTAACCTCACAGGTCCCCCCCCCACATAAGAGTAAGTGATGTGATGAGCTTTTGATGCGCTTTACTGCATAAATTTGCACAATAATGATGAGAAATGGTGGTACATTAGGGCTAAGTACCTCTTGCTCGGTACAAGCCATGGAGCCGGAGTGCTAATGACTATGGATGTTCATGTTTAGAGGCAACTGCTGCAAAGTAACACCGCCGTCCACACACTCGTGGACTTCTCTGTAATCACGGGTAATGCAATTACGTGGAGGCATGAACTATGGCGCTAATTGTAGCACTCATAATAAGCCTGAGTGTAAAGGTAACCAATGGTTAAAGATGCACATAAAATACGTTGTTTACACACACACACACACACACACACACACCGAGCACACAGGCTAGATTTGCAGTCAAGCTCCCACACCTGAACTCGAACAACACACCAGCAACCAACTGTGACTATTTACAATTCATTTGCTGTTTGTTTTGCGCACGATTCTCATCATGTGTTGTGACCTAAAATATAATTACATAGACTTTACAGCAAGGTTGTTGTTATTTTTTACACTAGAGCACACAAAAACAGCAGCAAATAATGCTTTTGATACACCAAATAAGACTGCATATTATTGCAATAATAGTATTTGTGTTGCCTCCATTAATGCAGGCAGAAAAGTGGACTTATTGGAGCGTCCAGTGTGTCATTTGTACTGCAGATGATATATTAGCTTTATTAGCGAAATGCTTTCAAAGGGTGGCCTGAAAAATCTATATCATCTCACCCTGTTATTATTTTATAAAATGGTCTATCTGTTACATCCTCTGACCACAGGTCGTTAATATTCATCTCTGAGAGCACCACAACAGAACATCTCTGCTGGGCAACATTATCGATCCCACTTTTGCATCCAAGAGGTTTTCACCAGGTTCTTTTGTAGTAAGCTGCAGTCAATTAACGCCTCGCAGATTACATTATTCAGGCTGCGCCTCTTTCTTTGCCTTTAATTCCACCCTGACATTTAATGAACAGTGAGTGGCAGAAATGCAGAACAATCGCGCCGTTGGATATAATTGCTGCAGGACCAAAAGGGGGGTTCACGACACGCGAGAGGTGAAATAATGTAGGTCTTAAGTTGAAATTAGCTACTCTTCCTCAGGGGTGGAGGAGGTGTTCGGAATTTAAATGTCAAAAACGAAGGAGGAGTATATATATTTTCAATTTTTAGTGTTTTAATAATAGTCAAGCTCCAGAAATGCTGGATCCTAGATTTCCTACAATGTAATTCAACCTGAGACAATTTTACTTAAACTTAAAAAAAGCAGTACCACAGAAGAGATTATAAAACCATTTTTGCATACTCAATAACATCTGACATGACTGTTATTAGCAGATACTTAATAATAAGGTTTTCTTAATATACTTACACTTTAGTTTAATTAGGCCTTTTTTACTCCAATGATTCTGGAATTCTATTTATTTACTCTCTGTGACTCAAATAGTTGTTTTTATAGTGAATCCAATGAATCTTACTTCAATTTATTTCAAACATTTCTAATCTAAGTCTAATACAACAGTCCAGCAATAACTCTTACCTTTATGAAGGTTGCAATGTTCAGTTTTAGTTCAAATTGACTCAGCTTTACTTCTTCCATTTAACTTGAGGTGCATTAAAATTCTCCCCTAGACATCTCTATCACCTGAGTCCACCTGTGGTCAGTCTAATTGATGGGATATGATTTAGAATGAAACGCACATCCACCAATCCTTCCAACCATCCATTTTCTATACCCATTTTTTTTTTAACAAGGGTCACAAAAGGGGGGCTGGCGCCTATCTCGGCATGCATTGGGGCAACGCAAGGCAGACGTGCATGAAATACACATGTTTATGTAAAGTGGTACGGAAGATTGAGCGGGTCTATTAAAACGTCAATTGATGCTGTAATGGCTGCCAGTGGTGTTTCTAATATATTCAATAGACACCATTGGACACCATCGGACACCATTGGACACCAAATACCTACTTAAAGAAGAAGAAACCAAGTGAATAAAAAAAATAAAAGGATTCAAGGCAGTGAAGAGACATTGAGACATTAATCCATATCAAGTGTCCACACCCTGTGCCGTGTACTCTGAAGCCCCCACCATGAATGAAGCACCATTATGAGGGGGTGACTTTGTCTGTCAGCACTCCCCCACTTCCTGACTGTACTGTAGTCTGTTACTGAGCTTCTACCCTGGGGCCGATCTTATGATGCTGGCTGCCAAGCGGAGCAGCTTGCTATGAAGCCACGGACATTGAACCCCTATCCTGTTGTTCGCCTGGCACACAGATTAAACAGCAAGCCGGTGACCCAATTTTGCATCCGAACATCAGAAGTATTTAGTCATGGGATGTACTGCATTGAATCATTTTGTTCTGAGAGCAGCCTCTCAGGTATAGGGGATAAAAAGTGTTATATGAAAGGGAAAATCCATAAAAACCATCCTCTGACAATATATTTTTGAAATGTCCTGGTCTGTTTGTTTATTGTAGATATTGTAGCATTACACTAAGGTGTGTTCAGTGCTGTGGCTGTCACTTTCTTTCCAATGCCACCATTTTGCATTGGAAACACTATTTTCTATAGCCTCAATAGACCAGAATGCATTGTAGCCTTGAAAGACTTTGAGTTTGAAGTGTTTGGTTTCTTCTGGATAAGTCTTACAAACTACTGATATTAATTTCACTACATGCATGTGTCACAGCTGGAAGTTCAGGGATGTTGTCTGGCATTCTGGGAAATGCAGAATGTCACTATCTTGACTACAAATAAATAAGATCTATTGAGGGAAAGTGGGCGCCAGGAAAAAAGTAAATTACAGCACTTCATCACAAAATAGCTCCTGGAATGTGTTGAACATCCCAGATTGATGATATATAACACTAAAAGTATCTAAGCGAGGATTTCTCCCTTTAATGGAGTGTGTGCAGCATTCCATCAGGTATCACAGATACAGTAAAGTTCAGTGAAAATGAATGGGGAGTAAGTGTGAGTGAGATTATAACCAATTGATGGTTAACGTTGGCGTACAGGGGCATATTGTGTTTTATGAATAGCATTGATTTGTTCTTCTTTTAATACCCTTTTTATTTTAAATCAATCGTGGAACAGTTTTCCCTTTCATAAAGTACAGTGCATTCAAAGAGAAGCCATTATCTCCACTTTATTAACCCTTTTAAATCCTTATTGATCATGTTGGGGAAGTAAGTGATCGATTTTTTAATGTTTTGAGACTCAATAGAGTGATGCTTTGACGTCATTTTCACATCACCACCAACGAGAGGCTATTCTGGTTGATATGAATGTGCAAAAGTGTGACATTGAGTGGAAAACGCACACATTCAAAAATGTAAAAGAATTTGACATGACCTATCTGATGTCTAGACATTGAAATGAAGCCATAAATTGAATTTTCTTGGCACATATGAGGTAAATGTGGCTCAACATCCAGATAATAATGTTGACACTGAAGGCACAGCAGATGCCAAGTCCTCTGTTGAGACAGGATTTGTCAGTTTGATTAAAATCATGATGACTTCAAAGAATTGTCTGTGGATGGTTATAATGTATTTTGATTCTATTACATTTTTCATTTAGAAAATCCAATGTTTTTCTCTCTAACAATAAACATCCAGGACTAAATAAGTACTCCCTGCAATATTTGAATCTGATCAGCTGGAAAGCAAAACACCTAAAAATTACAGTTTTCTTGTTTTGCAGAT